CAGCTTTTCTCGCCCTGGAGGACGCGGGCGATGGGACCGCGGCGCATCTGGGCATCCCGCCGCTCGCATCCTCCGGGGCGAGAAAAGCCCCGTTCGTAATTGCGGATCCGACATAAGTCGGATCCGCGTAACTCGGGGACTGCCTGTATAATGAATATTAATAAGATTTCCCCGCAGCTTCAACTGATTAGGACTTCTGCTTAAACATCAATGGCCCCAAATTCCACAAAGATGTTTGTTATTCTTTAGATGAGACATAACGGGGTGAGAACAGGACCCACTTAACAACCAGGGACATGATTTAAGGTGTATGGCTTTACAGGCAGGCAGAAATAGGGGGACTGGTTATAACAGCAAAAGGTTCTCCTTCAACACAAATATCTTCTTAATTAGACCAAGAATAATGGGAAACCAGATGCATGAAATAACAGGGAAATAAATTTTGCCCAAGTGTGAAAAAGGATCATTCCTATATTTAATATCTTCCATCACTGTCACAGAGTCACCGAAGAAGGTACAGTAATAGGAATGTGAGTTAGGATACTGTATATGTGATTTAGATTCTTGTCCACTGAGACTGAACTCATCAGATCATTTCTTATTGGCTATTCCTGCATTCCAAGAGTAATAACCCTCAACTCACTGCTTAATACCAACTCGGTTTGCAGATGACCCAGCGACCTGGAGGTGAAAAAGCTCCACATCCCAGTCCGAATGCCTTGAGTCAGCCAATAACTCAGTGCATCAGATTTTATCCTAATCATCCTAGAGATAAGCTGTCCATTATGACCAAGCTGTACTAAGGGGGGGCAAAAGGAGTTACGTGCCCATCACACACTGATTTATAATGGGATTTGGGATACTAATTCCCTGAAAATCCCCCGCCTAAAAATATTCAGGTGAAATTCAATTTAACTAGATCCAGCAAATATATTAGGTCACTTTTGCCTATTCAGAAAAATCCATTTTAAATAATTTAGTTTGCAAATATTTTAAAAGGCTTCTAATAAAGCCAGAAATAGAAAAACCCCTGAGTGAACAAATAAAAAACCCCGAATCATCATTAAATTCAGATATGTGGCTGTTAGATGAAAGGATGTGCATGAACGTTAAATGTGTCTTAGAGCGGTAATGGGCGTAACATTTTTGTTGACTTCCCACAATTTCCTGTGCATATGAAAGAGAAAGACAAAAGCCTGCCATGCTGTATGAAAAGCATTAACACTATCATGTTTTGGAACAAGGGACCTATAGAAATTGTCTCCTTCCTACTTCTGAAACCCTCTCCCTCCTATTCGATACATCCCTTTTTCATTGCTTGTGATTGTAGTAACTTCTTTTGTGATCCTCACAGGCACAAGAGGACTGGCCAAGGATCCCTAATCTTGCTGCTCAATTACGCTCTTGAATGGAGTGAGGGGGTACCACTGGGGAGCGTCGAGACTTTCTCTGCCCGGACCCAGTTGGAAAGCATTGCCACCACAGCAATACTGCTAAGCTGCCAGTACATGCAAAGTCAGAACTTGTCTGAGATTGAACACACACATGTTTTCCTATACATCGGGGTGGCCAGCCCATTCTGGGCAAAGAGCCAAGACAGCAGTGGATCCAGCGTGAAGGGATGGGGGAAAGTTGTCGAGCAAAAACAAACAAACAAACAAACAAACAAACAAACAAACAAACAAAAAGCCCTGCCCCTTTAAGAAACCGCAGTTAAACGTGTTCGCTTTTTGGCCACAGCAGACTCCCACCACTTGCCACCATCTTTATTTCTGCAGCTTTCATGGCTGCACTGGATGGCTCCCAGCCCAGGTCCAGAGGGAGGGAGGAGGGGGGCTTTCGAGCCACAGGATGGGCTTCGCGAGCTGCACCCGGGAGTGAGTCAAACCTGCCCCGTCAATTCTGGTTTGGGGCCTAGCGCTGATGGAGCTAAAATCTCTCATCAACAAATAATACTGTGATTCTCCCACCACACACGGTGACAGAAAAGTCTCAAGAATGATCAGACGAATCCACATGATTTCTGCTGTGCTACAATGGAAATCCTGTTAGAACAGCTTATGAGATTTCAATGTTGTCAAACTCAAAAACAGGCCCGGATTTGGGCCTGAAACTGTATTTCAAACCGTAGCTCGGGGTGGACAATAATTTTAGAAGAGGGGCCATTTCTCGTGCTCCCCTACCCACAGGCCCTGATTGGCCTGGGTGCGGGGGGAGCGTGTGAAGTCTTAGCTCCCTGCCCCTCCCCACATACCTAGAGAGAACCACCAGCTGCTCTGAACTGCTGGTGGTTCCCTCTAGGCGTGGTACACCCCTGGCGGCAGGAGGAGACTCCGTGTGCTCCATCCCACCTCTAGGCCTATCAGAGTCTGGGGGGCAAGGGAGCATGCAAAGTCTCTCACCCCTGCCCCTGTGCTGCCAGGGGCACGAGGCGTCTAGAATGAACTGCCAGCTCTTCTGAAGAGCTAGCGGTTCAAAGTGCTGCGCGCCCCTGGCAGGGGGAAGAGACTTCGCATTCTCCCCTATCCCCACATCTTGATTGGCCTGGGGGCAGGGAGTGGCAGGGTGTCAGCAGGCTGGATCAACCAGGGTGGGCCGGATCTGGCCCGTGGAGGCTCTCTTGCACAACCCTGCCTCAGCCTAAATCAAATCCACACCAAAATTCTACTTCCTTTGTAATCTCTACTATAAAAAGCCAAGCACTTAGGACAAGATATAAGCTGAGAGCTGGCTAGGCAGCAGTTATTCACTATAACCGGTGCAACGGTTACTGGTCACTTTTATATGGAAATTCTGGACCAGCAATATTGCTTCCAAAATCAGTTCAAATTTCAAGCCATGTAGAAAGATTCTTTAGCTTGCCTCAACCTCCAATTACAAAACCATTAACCATTACAGAAGGGAAAATCTGCTTTGCCCCAGCTGGCATTTAATATTTTAAAAAAAGAAACAAAAGAAAAAATACCACAATTATTCAAAAATTGACCTTTAGAAACACCTATAATTTTTTAAGTCAATACTTTCCATATTTAATAGTTTGGAGCCGTCAGCTGGAGAAACAATTTGAATAGTTCACAGGAACATTGATTGACGATAGGCCAAAGCTCTGCACATTTCTTTTAAGTCTACTCTCTTAAGAATTACCACAATAAATATTGGCCCCCAGTGTCGAAAATTAGAAGAGTCTGAAGAAATAAGTGCCACGTAAACAACTGAACTTCAGACCATTGTTGCTGAATGTTAGTCATTTTGAAAGGCAGTCAGTCAGCAAAATATCATCTTTGTGATCAGGAATTACTTTAATTTTGTGAGAGATGAGATTTGGTTGATGTCCTCAGTTATAACACAGTTTGTAATACATGCGTGGCAATCATCCCCAACTGAAATATGAATCTAATATTCCTTCTATGCACAATCCAAAGGTCTCCATTAACAAAGAGGAACAAAATGAGAGAAAAGCCACAAAAAACAGCCAACTCATTCTACTAAAAATTCAAACAGCAACAGTTTGACAGAGAATGTACGGAAGTGAAAATATGCAACAGAAGAGGTTGAATCTCTGCTTTATGTGCAAAAATCAACACAACCTGAACTATGAACTTGCCACTGGCACCTCTACAATGATGAGTTCTTTATTTGTTTAACAAAAGCACCCTTTGCTTGAAAGTTTCTCACACTGACTGGTGAGCTGTATCCTCTTTCCATAAAACAAATGAAGCCAATACTGCAAACCAACAAGGCTGTTAAAACCAATGTAGCTTTAACCTGACGCACGCACACAAAAAATGTGACAGAACATTTGATTTCAGAAGCTTCATCTGGCCCATGTAATATTCCATGTGTTCTACAGTGAGCTAATGAACACTGTATACTACTATAATTTTGGCAGATGCTGTTGGCTACACCTGCACTGCACATCACCAGGGGTGGCAGGTAGCGTGTGTGCAGCTACACACTGCAATGAAAAGCAGGCTGTCTTCACTTGGTGTTGTGTAGCCATACTTGGCAGTGAAAGGTTATGGTGAGGAGAGGGCAGCAGGGGTGCAGGGAAAGGCTGAACCACTGCCAGTGTCTTTCCCTGCAGCTCCCCGCTCCTCTCCCCTCCATGTTGAGTCTT